CTCTTGCTCAGGCTGGTCTCGAACTCCTGAGCTCAAACAATCCACCCGCCTCGGCCTCCCAGAGAGCTAGGATTACAGGCGTGAGCCACTGCGCCCGGCCGGCAGCTCTTAATTCTTTACTCTTTTTCTTTTCTGATCATTTTATGGACAGTACCATACTGTTTACTGTACCTTCATATTACATTTTAGTATCTCTGGTAGAGCAAAAAATAAAGGACATGCTCCCTGCCAGAGGTGGCTCAAATGCATGGTGTACTGACACCCAGTGCTCTGCTGAGAAGTGACTGTTTAAGAGATGCAGAGTGGGAGGAACAAATCTGACTCAGCAGGTAATAAACGTCTTTTATACCTCCATATACTGCAGTGGGCTTATATTTCTCAACAACTGAATTTACACCTTCTGTTTTCATTGTGTCTGTTTAATATATTAAATTTACTGGCAAACATTTAAGTTTCTGTAATTGGAGTTTCTGAGAAATGAAATGAAGGAAACTTACCCGGGGTCAAAAACCCCTGGCGTGCGACAGGTTGGCCCAGAACAGGACTGTAACATCATTAACCGATAGTTCATCTTTCCCAAAAGCTCCGGGTCTATACTTTTAGCAATGTTAGTGATTTGGTCTGGGTCTGCAGTCAGATTGTAGACTTCTACAAACACCTAGAGAAAGTGAAGGGATGGAGGAAAGAAAAGAACAAGGGTTATATTTGAAGAAATATTCCTAAATGTGAATTATTTCTAAATGGGAAGGGAGCAGGTGGATAAAAAACCAAGGCCCCAGGGGCTTTCAATCTAGACTCAAGATCCTCAAAGAGCCCAACTGTATGTTTAAGACAATGGAATATCTGTTCTAGGGGTTCAACTGCTTCAGGTCTATAGCCACATGCTCCAAGGGGACCTCCTGCACACCCTGTGCCTCAGGCAGAGTCGGAAGGGGGACGGGGAGGAAGCTTTTTACCTTCTGTAATTAGAGCAGAGAACAGAAGGCAGGACCCTCGAATGGCAAGGTCCCCAAAACAAGACTTAGTGATAAAGTTACTGAAGTGAGAGTTAACTGACATTACAAGGCTTATTTTTGCCTTAGAATTGTGAGATTTAAATGAGAATGGATATGAAAGTATTCTAACCTGGGTTATACAAATGCTAAGTTTTCCTATTTTAAAAAGTAGTTTTAGATACTGATAAACATTGTGGGGGAGGGGAAACAGGAATTGAGTTTGAGGGAGGCTCTCTTGCTTATTGTCCAAAGTGCTTATGAGCTGCAAATGGAATAGTGAGGGACTAAATTTCTGAGAAACATGTAAGAGCATCTGCTCCGCATGGTAAGATGAGGATTGCCAGATGGGGCAGGTGAGCACATGCTGACAGAAACCACAAGGGACTGGAGTCCATGGGACACCTTGGATAATACACGCCGATATGTGTTGGCCAAAACCCACCTCCTTCCAAGGATGGAATCCTGGACCTTTGACCCCACTCTAATCTGCTTGAGCAGCACTGGATTATGCTATGGTGGAAACAGGAGTTTCTTTTCTTTTTTTTTTTTATTTAAAAAAAAATTTCTTTCAATATTAAACTCTTTCTCCCAAGGAGCTTCTGCATAAGTCAGTTGCTGGTAAGCTTTCCAGGAAATGCTCCAACTCGTTTCACCTCCATAGAAGTTGAGGTGCTTCACTTTCATCCCAAACTACCAGGGAAGCTAACAGACCAGGCATTTATCATTCTGAAAATGTGAACTGTGCATTTAAAGTATGTGTTTGGATTGGGTGTAGTGGCTCATGCCTGTAATCCCAGCACTTTGGGAGGCTGAGCTAGAAGGATCACCTGAGCCTGGGATCTGAGACCAGCCTGAACAACATAGGGAGACCCCATCTCTACACAAAACACAAAACTTAGCCAAGTGTGGTGGTGCATGCCTGTAGTCCCAGCTACTTGGGAGGCTGAGGCAGAAGGATCATGTGAGCCCAGGAGTTTGCGGCTGCAGTGAGTTATGATGACGCCACTGTACACTAGCCCATGCAACAGAGTGAGACCCTGTTTCAAAAAAAAAAAAAAAAGTGTATGTTTGGGCCAGGGTGTGGTAGCTCAAGCCTGTAATCCCAGCACTTTGGGAGGCCAAGGTGGAAAGATCACTTGAGGCCAGGAGTTCAAGACCAGCCTGGGCAACATAGCGAGACCCCCATTTATATTAAAAAAGTAAGAAAAATTAGCCAGGCATGGTGGCACATGCCTGTAGTCCTGGCTACTCAGGAGGCTGAGGCAGAAGAATCACTTCACTTGAGTGATTCAAGCACGAGTGGGGCTGCAGTGAGCTATGATCACATCACTGCACTCCAGTCTGGGCAACACAGCAAGACTGTCTCAAAAACGAACAAAAAAGAAAGTGTATGTCTGTGTGGTGGCAGGAATAGAGAAAACCTCATTCAGAAAAATCACAGAGAAGTGAGACATGCATGGCCTTATGATTGTCTTCTTAACTGAAGGAAACCTAAGTTGAAGTACAGAATAGAAACACAACATCTCCCCTAGATGCTCCTTGGATTGCTCTTAAGCCGCTAACTCCAACCAACAAAGCAAGGCAACAGACAAAGGGGCAGAGAGGTCCAGGCAGAAGCCCCTCTTACCTCCTGGTCATCAAACTCGCAATACTGCAAATTCCACAACGCCGATATCGTCCTCACACAAGCATAGGTATTGTTATAAGCATCTTCACATACACAGTCTGGGAAACATTGCTGTAGGATATTTAAAAGGTTAAATGAAGATAGTTCTTCCATAGTAACAAACACCTAGTTGCCTACAGGGGCAATCAATTTGGCTCATGCCAGGCATGCAATAGAATTTCAAAAACCTTCCACGGAGAAGCCAGTAAATCAAAATAGATGTGAGGCTTTGTTCCTTACTGATGGCTAACTTGATTAAGGTATATGTGGTTGTTCCATGTGTAGATTGCTGCCATCCTCGTCTGCTAATCTCCTGCCAAGAATTATTGGAATGAGCACTGATAAAATGTACGGGTTGGCAAGAAGAAGAAATCAACACTCAAATAAGTCATTTCTAAGGACCGTTAGGAACCGTCATTGTAAAAGGTTGGAGAAAAGGCTAAAATGAGCTTTCTGGAATCACTTGCAGGTGAATTATTTATGGGTGTTCTTTACACCAGGGCTGATCTAACTCTAACTTATTTCTTTGAGTCTTCTATAGGATCTATTATGCCACTTTTGGTTGGTTCTTTACTATATCATAACACTTTGGTGTTAGGCTTCCATTTGGAGTTGATTCTCCTATTTCTCACTCTCCAAAGTGAGGCCAGTGTGCCTGTTACCACTCTTGTGGCCTACCTGGCTGCCACTAATGTGAGGCACTCAAGATGGCACAGTTACAGGTTGGAACCCCATCTATTGGATGCCCTGGTAATATCCCTAATAAAAAAAATGGGAGGGGTAGGAAAATGGAGAATTGATAAGGCAAGAATATGGGCAGATATCTGTACTTGTTACATAAATCGGAATAATTCAAAGTGTACATTCTGATGATAGGTCAGCAGCATCATTTTCAGAATTACTGGATTTACCTTTGTCCATCTACTAACCTCCTACAGTAAAGTGACAAATGAGTAGGACTCAAATTAAGGGTTTGATACTTGACACATCTAAACCAGCACCTTGCTGTGTTGTGAGAAAGCTGTCTCAGCCAATTCAAGCTATACTCACAGATACTCCAGGACTCAGGGAAGGACACGTTGGGTCGGTGACGTTACGGCCTTCTCCTTGATACTCCACCAGGACATCTGATCGCCAGGTCAGGTTACTGGCACCTTTCTAGAAAGAAAAGCAAGGGTGGTTTCTGTGAGGCAAATAGACTGTGATAAAGATTACAAAGTTATTTACTCTACTGCTAAAGGGGACTTGAGGGTTAGGACTAACTGCACAGTTCACTCAGTAACTAAAGGGAATGACTAAAATGGGTGTGTGTAAGAGATACTGACTATCATGTTTGGTCTTTACAAGTGATGGTCAAATGTCTTCCCCAGACTGTTTCTGTGGAGCAGGTCAGGAATGGAAACTGACAAAGCAGCTAAGCAATAATCAAAGTCACAATGCAAGCAAGTTGCTGTAAGTCCAGATTAGAATGAATGATACTGTTTCTATGTCCTATGTAAGAATTGTCCTAAGCTCATATTGAGGAATTTATAACCTAACACTCACAAGAACAAGAAAGAAACAAATATTACACAGGGCTGGTGTGCTAAGGATTATAATGGGTGCAAAGCACCTTGATGGTCAGAATGAAGGTACAATACGGGCATTAACTCATTTACTCTTCTCTGCACATTAGCGGTATGGAAAGCAGCAGCCACATTTGAAATGGGAACGCTTAAGACAGGCACACGAATGGTGAGAGGAGGAAGAATCTAGGAGAAAGAGCAAGTTTTGGATCAAAAGAACATGGCGCCAGTTGTGGTAGCTTACCACATGGAAGCTGGAGCCATGGAAGCTCCAGCTCTGGAAGCTGGAGTCAGGGGGAAGCTTATCTGTCAGAATTGAGGGAATTTCAAAATCCCCACCTGCGTGTCACAACGTCCAGAGGAGAAGAGCATCCAGGAGTCTAGATCAATGGTTCTTGAGCTTTGCTGCATATTAAAATCATCAGGGGAATTTGAAATATCCTAAGGGCCAGGTTCTATTTCATGCCAATTAAATCAGACTCTCTGGGGGTGGGACCCGGGCATTAGTATTTTAATTTCCCAAGTGATTTAACGTGTGACCAAGTTTGAGCTCGTGGTCTGGAGGGGTCATTGAACTTTTTCTTTAAAAGGCTGGAGAGTAAATATTAAGGCTCTGTGGCTATACAGTCTCTCTCAGACCTACTCAGCTCTGCTGCTGTTGCAGGAAAGCAGCCATCCGCAATACCTAAGTGGGTGAGTATGCTGTGCTTTAATATGACTTTATTTACAAAAACGGGGTGGGCTACATTTGGCCCACAGGTTGTAGTTTGCCAACTGCTGGTCCAGCAGAACTTTCTGACTAACGTGTTCTCTATTTGTGCCGTTCAATGTGATGGCTACTGAGCGGGGCATATGTGTGGCTAGTGCAAATGAGGAACTGAATTTCATTTTAGTTAATTTAAATAAATATGCACACATGGCTATTTAACTGCTCTAATACATTAATATTTCATTGGAATAACCTCCAAAAACCAAACATGAACAAGGAAAAGAGCTAAGTCTTAAGTGGTACTTCCAGAACTGTGCAGAGAAATTATACAAAGCATAATCATTTTTTACCCTTAGAGTGAATCAAGTTTTTTTCTAATTAGAAATAAATTTAACAAGGCACACAATGTAAAACTTGTATGAAGAAAGTTAAAAGATGTAAATTTTCCCTGACCAATCTATAGCTTAAATGCAATTCTAACCAAAAGCCAACATTTTTCAGCTAATCCGAAAACCGGATTCTAAAGGTTATATGGGAGAGAGTAGCTAGGATCCCCATAAAAACAGTAAGGAGAGAGGTGTGCCCAGACAGATGAAGATTTAATTATACGGCTTTATAAGGCAAAATGGTACTGGTATAGGGATAGACAGAACCACAGAACAGAAAAGTCAACTGAGTATTAAGAGAGGAAAAAAATGAAATTGAATCCCTGACTCATACCATGCAAGAAAGTCAATTTTAGATACACTAAGGACTTGAATGTAAGAGGCAAAACTATAAAACAAGTTACATGTATTTTCTTGCACAAATTATATACTACCTAACAATAAATTATAACAGACACATCATTAAAGGTCACCCATAATTTTATGACCCAGAGACAGTCACCATGATGGCTAAAACACTTTAGTATTGATCCTTCCAAACTTCTCTGTGCTTAGACATATTCACATACATTCTTAACAGGGAAGAGGAGCTGTTGTGAAATGTCCTTTTCTCCCCTTGGTACATTGGTAGCATCTTCCCAAGTCACTGCAGACAGATCTACATCACCTACTATTGGTTTAGTATTCTGCTGTTTAATTGTGCCACAATTTAAGCGATTCTCTACGGATATTTGGGTTTTCAGTTTTCCTCTATTAATACATGTACACTTTCAGATGGACTGCTGGATGTGTATACTCTGAAGTGTTATGTCTTGTTAAACTGGCCTCCTGATTACACTTCTACAAAAAGTATATGGGAGGCCGGGAGTAGTGGCTCACGCCTGTAATCCTAGCACTCTGGGAGGCCGAGGCGGGCAGATTGTTTGACCTCAGGAGTTTGAGACCAGCCTGAGGCAAGAGCGAGACCCCCCGTCTCTACTAAAATAGAAAGAAATTAATTGGACAACTAAAAAAATATATAGAAAAAATTAGCTGGGCATGGTGGCACATGCCTGTAGTCCCAGCTACTTGGGAGGCTGAGGCAGAAGGATTGCTTGAGCTCAGGAGTTTGAGGTTGCTGTGAGCTAGGATGATGCCACGGCACTCTAGCCCAGGCAACACAGTGAGACTCTGTCTCAAAAAAAAAAAAAGAGTTATGGGTAATTTCCAATTTCTCGGACTTTTGCAGATTCTAGGATTAATCTTTTAAATCTTTGCCAGTTCACAGATGATAAAAGCCTCCTTCAGTTAAGTATTTCTTTGATTAGCACTGAAGTAATCTTTTTGCATTTACTTTGGCCATTTTTAATTCTTCTGTGAGTTGATTAGTTAGGCTTTTTTGCCCATTTTTCTACTGGAATCAATCTTTGCTAAGAACTCACATTATGACTAATTTCCCTTTTTCACATATGGTGCAAATGTTTTCCCAATTTGTCACATGTCTTTACTTATGGTGGGTGTTCTGGGGGTTGCACAGAGAGGGGAGGCAAGAGAACTAAATTTCATATGTGGTCTAATCTTTTTTAGAAAATTTCTTCCCACCTCAAGTTCAGAGAAAAATTCTATTCTCTGCCCCCCAATTTTAAAATAGTATTATTTAAGATTTAAATTTTTAAGTCTCTATACAACCTGGAATTTATTTCAGTCTTGGCTCAGGCCCAATTGAGGGATTTATACTCACCAAAATAGGCAATAAGGACATTCCATCCATCTGTGTCTTATTCAGGCTGTAGCCAGCGATGTCCAAAATAGTAGGACCCAAGTCAATGTTGGCAACGAGCAACTATGAAAATGAGGAAAAAACAATCTAGAATACACTGGTTTCATTTTCCCTTTCTATTTCTACTAAGCTCTCTTCCCCACCCCACCCATGAGACAAACAGCTCTATTACTCTTTGTATAGCCCATACTTACTTTGGTCTTACTGATTCATACATTCAAATATAACTATAATAACTTAAAAAAATAAAGGGTTATAAGACTTGTAATATAGCTTCCTGGGAAGTTATATATTTATTCCACCCATATTATTATTGATCAAAACATTTTTAAAAAACTCCTTTTGGATGGTTTTGAGTTTGTAATTAATCATCAGAAAAATGTTGGCCTAATTATTTTATACAATGTGTCTTCTAACTTGATTATTCAGACAAGTTTGCAATTTTGACTTCAAATGTACTCCTGACATTTTTGAAAGTCTCAAAATGCTTGCCACCAATGACGATTATTAGCCATATTTATAGCTTCTCAAAGTGGCAACACTGCTAAAAAAAAAAAAAAAAGGTTTGCAATAGGCTGTAAAGGCTGCAGAAAAGTTATTTGAACAATGTATCAATAAAAGTTTCCTTAGGCTGGGTGCAGTGGCTCATGCCTGTAATCCTAGCACTCTGGGAGGTGGCAGGAGGATCACATGAGGTCAGAAGTTTGAGACCAGCCTGAGCAAAAGGAAGACCCCATCTCTATAAAAAATATTACCACGTGTGGTGGCACACATCTGTAGTCCCAGCTACTTAGGAGGCTGAAGCAGGAGGATTGCTTGAGCCCAGGAGTTTGAGGTCGCAGTCAGCTATGGTAACGCCACCGTACTCTAGCCCAGACTATAGCCAGCAAGACTGTCTCCAGATAAAATAAAATAAAATAGCTTCCTTAAAGAACATAAAACTTAGATTTTTTTTTAAAAAAACAAACACTCTAAAAATTAAGACACTGTCCTGCACTTATACGTTGACTTATTTCCCCGGTTTATTAGACTATTTTCCTTCTGAATGCAATGCCTCTACAGAACCTAAATCAGCACAGTCCAATAGAAATACAAAGGGGGCTACATATGTAACTTAAAACTGCAGGCCGGGCGCGGTGGCTCATGCCTGTAATCCTAGCACTCTGGGAGGCCTAGGTGGGTGGATTGTTTGAGCTCAGGAGTTCGAAACCAGCCTGAGCAAGAGCGAGACCCCGTCTCTACTAAAAATAGAAAAGAAATTAGCTGGACAACTAAAAATATATGGAAAAAATTAGCTGGGCATGGTGGCGCATGCCTGCAGTCCCAGCTACTTGGGAGGCTGAGGCGGAAGGATTGCTTGAGCCCAGGAGTTTGAGGTTGCTGTGAGCTAGGATGATGCCATGGCACTCTAGCCCGGGCAACACAGTGAGACTCTTGTCTCAAAAAAAAAAAACAAAAAAAAAAACTGCCTAATAATCACATTAAAGTAAAAAGAAACAGGTGAGATGCATTGTATATATTTAACCCAATATGTAAACATATCTGAATATTAATACTTCAGCATGTAATATTTCAACATGTAAACAATACAAAAAAATTAATGAAATTTTACTTTTTTTTGAACCAAGTCTTTGGAATCTGGTATTTTATAATTATAATAGATCTCAGTTTGGAATATCCACATTTCAAGTGCTCAGCAGCCACAAGTGGCTGGTGGTTATTGCAGTGGCCAGTGCAGGCCTCAACAGAACCTAAGCACAGGCCTAGAAGTCACTTGGTCACAGGCTCGAAAAGCCTTAGAGTTATAAAGACAATCCATCAGGGAAACAAAGGGAAGTGAGAAAAACTGGGAGCAAAGTTTACTGAACAGCTACTCTGTGCCAGGTATTTAATGTTTACTCTCATTTACTCTTTACCACAATACTAGGATGCAGTATTTTCCCCATGTTACAGTCTTCAAAATTGTTGGGAAAGCTTAGATCTTAGGAAAGGCCAAACAGGGATATTAAAAAAAAAAAAAAAAAAAGAGAGAGAGAGAGAGAGAGAGATCAACTAACCCTGACATTTTTCATTTAAAAATAAAATCAAAAGTACAGACATGAAAGGCAAGAAAACATCTTCAAAGCACTGTGCATCAGGGGCCAGGTTTCCTGAGCAGGATGGCCCCTAGAGGACAGAGTGATATATATACCCTGGCTCTGAAGCAATTAGCATTAACTTTGCAGCTGTCAGAAATTACCATTCAGTGGCCGACAATGCAGGGGAAAGGCAATCCATATGTTACTGAGGAAAAAAGACACAAAAACTATGTCTCCAGGGATTGTGCAAGACCCACTGTTACAGATAGCTTTCCTAGTTCCAAGTCCCCCAGGCAAATTGAGCAGCTTGGGATACAGTCAGTCATCAAGGGTGAAAAATGGAAGAGATCGTGGCAGGGAAGGAGAGAAAAAAGGAGACAGGATCTCCACAATTAGATCAAGACAATAAGACATCCACAGACCCAGAATGGTGACTAACAGATCTTCATTGATGGCCCCAGCATGAATTAATTGAAGCCAATTCCAGATGTACCACTAACATGTCCAAGGCAATTTTATAAAGAACAAGGGGGCTGGGCATGGTGGCATGCAACGATAGTCCCAGCAACTCGGGAGGCACAAGTGGGAGGATCGCTTGAGCCCAGAGCAACACAATAAGATCCTGTCTCAAAAAAAAAAAAAAAAGAAAGAAAAGAAAAGAAAAGAAAAAGAAAAAAGGGGAAACACTAAAATAATAAAATCCACAGAGATATAAAATGGTGACTGCCATCTCACCAAAAATTGCCTCAAGCCATGAGCTGTACAATGGGAGGCTCTAATAGCATTTTGCTCTATGGAAAGAAAGGTCTGTAAGTTCCAGTATAACTCAAGAGTCACTAAGATTCAGCACAAATACTATAAACATACATCACCCCAGGACTCTTTCTTTCCAGATATCTACAATTATCACATCTTCCCTAAAAAAGATGAATAAATTTTCTCCTCTTCTAGAGTTTTATTTGACTATGAAGCAGAGAGTCTCACAATAAGTATTCTATATCAGGAGATGGGAGACTTTTAGTGGATACCGAGTATAAATGAAGAATTAAAGAGAGAATTATACCTACCTCTGGTTTTTACACAACCAAGATATAGAATGGATTCTATGGACCCATCACTATAATAACTTCTAGAAAGATTCAAGTTTTAAGGATATTGCTTTTATTACTAAGTATAAACTTAAAAATTCATTTATGGATTAGAATAGAAAAAGCTTTGGGAAAACCAAAAGTAAATTATTTCATAAATCATACTCTCTCAGTTTGAACATGCTCTTAGGATTTAAGTATATAAATATTCTGATCAAAGCCCCTAGAAAACCCTGGGGCATAAAATCTAGGGGATAGCATGCACTGAACCTGCTTGTTTTTAGCTCAAGAAGAATGACAGTGCTACATAATTACTGAAAAGAACAGGGTGACAATGGGCTCTCAGAACATATCAGGTTTCCAAACAGACACTTAAGTCCTGATGCTAAAGAATTCATGTAGGGCTACTAAAGAAAAGGCTCTAAACATACCAGAAAGCACCCCAAATCCATTTAGCAAAAAAGCACTGCAACTGCATGAGAAAGCAGAGAACCGCCCCCACATCCTGGGCTGCTTCAGCTGGATTTGTCTCTCAGCCCCAACATCCTCCTACTTTCACAAGTAGGGAAAACGAGGCATATTCTGTCCAAAGCCAACAGGCAACGTCCCTGACTCCCAGTTCAGTTCTATTACTCCTGGACCATCATGCATCATTCTAGTTTTCCTACTAGCCTTTTCCTTACTAGAACCCATTTTGTAGAACTTCTACCACTAAATTGAAAGCTGGATTGATTTCTAGCCAGAGTAGAAAACATCGAGAGTCAACCTTTGGCATCCCACATGCGACCTGCCTCTGCTCTCCCAGACAGCCGACACATAGCTAAGTCCACCAGTCAGTTAAATGTGCGGTGCTCTGGCTGTCGGGCTGTTGACAGCTCAGCTCATTATGCCCTACTCACCACCCCGTGCCACTCACACAGAACGCCTGGCACTGAGACAACTGTGCTGCCAACACATGACCAATCACCCACTGTCTTCTGACATTCTTGTGCTAGAGGAAAGCTGGGGCACTTCATACTTCTTAAACTACATCTGCCAGCACAGCAGTATTAAAAACCATGGATTTTGAAAAGAGACACAATTAATTTTCAGTCCTTATTCTGTCACTTACTATGCTACTTTGGCAAAATCCATTCAACCAACATGGATGCCCCCCAATGTACGTTAGGGGCCAGGTATCTCAGCTCAGATACTTTCTTTATTCTAGGACATCCTAGAGTAAAAAAGATAAAACTGCACAGGGTGTGATGAGTGTGAGGCCAGTTGGGAACATTTAGGAGGGGCATCTACCCCAGGTGGGTGCAGAAGTCCAAAGTGACTTCTCAGAGGGGAAACCTCTCTTTGCAATTTTAGCTTAAATTACGTATTTGCTCATTTTCTTTGATCTCACAGAGCTGGGAATGAAATTGTGATATCCGGAAGGAGAGAAGATACAACTGGCACCCGAGTGTTAGAGGACAGTGTTTTGGATCAAGGTGCCCACGATCTCCAGAACAAAGTGCCTCAGTGCTAGGTCCTGAGTTTGGAAAAAGACATCAAAACCAAATAGAAACAATAACAGAAGAATGTGGTACATTATGACAGTTCTAGGAGGAGAACCAGGAAAGCAACAACGCATTAGTAAGAAAGAAAGAATCCTGCACAGGGAGAGGCTAAATCTCAGAGGACATGTTTTCGATAGCCCTACCCTCAAAGTGAGGTCAGACCAGCAGCAGACCATCCCTGGGAAGCTGGTTAGAAATGGAAAATCAGAATCTGCATTTTAACAAGATCCCCAGGGGATCCACAAACACAGTAAAGCCTGAGAAGCTCTGCTCTACAGGACAGTGGGCCCCAAACCAGGCAGCCTCTCAGAATCACCTGCAAACTTCAAGAAAGAAAAAAGGCAAATGCTGGGTCCCTGTTCCAGACGAAGTGAGTCAATCAGAATCTTTCTGGATGTTGCTCAAGCACATACCATTTTTCTTCTTCACAATTTCAGAGGGCGATTTTGACGAGCAATCTCTGTTGAGTCACTGCTCCAGGAAAAAGTAAACTCTAGTCTTGAAAGACAAAGAAAAGCTATGCATGGTGATGTGACATGTATGTATTGGGGGGGGTGGGGGATAATGTTAATGGGGTGCTAGGGAGTGAAAAAGTAAAAAAAAGGAATCACTGTTTCCAAGGCTCATAAACACACTTAAAAGATCATATGCTGATCAGCCTTTATCCTCACAGGAAGAGAAACTTAACCAGTCTCCTCCCAGGAGGAATAGCCTTATTTTCTCAGGCAAGTGCCCACCTGTACACAGCACCAGCTTGTTAGGCACCTACCTTGCTTGTCTGATTTGGTTTAATCCCAGGCCCTCGAACCAACAGTGGAACTTTGATATCAAATTCATATAGCTGTCGCTTGTCTATTGGCAAAGAGAACTGTCCTGAAAACAAAACACAGAGAGTAAAGATAGAGCTCAGAATTGGTCATATTCATTTCATTCATTTTAACAATAGCAAAAACTCAACTTTGTTCTATTAATTCTGGTGTTTTAACAGAAAGCTTAAGTTTGCCTAGGTCTCTTATTATTACAAGGCAGGAAAACCAATGCGATCATCTGTAAATAAATGAGTAGAAGGGACTCCCTGGTCTATGATAGGACAGAGCAAAAATGATGACTGGAAAGTACCAACACACACGTACATATAGATTTATTATATATGACACTTGATCTGATCACAACTGAAAGAGGTTACTCCAAAAATTGCCAAATAAAGGAATAAAAACATTTATCCTGCCTTTCTTGAATGAACTGCATTTTAAGATAATTGAATAATTGATAGGGGAAATTCTTCTCTGAGGAATTCCAGCTAATAAACACAAAAGAAAGGACAGGATTATGAAGTCAACATTTTGCAATTTCTAAGGGAATAATGGATTTAAGCAACAATCATCAATGGAACAACAGAAAGGCTCCTAGGAAAGGCTTAGGCTGAAACCACCCCAGCCATCAATCAACACTAGCATCCCCAAAGTCACCGTGGGCCTCATGACATGGCACACTAGGAAACACACTGCAGCAGCACCGAGGAAGCATTCTTGCCTGAAAATGCAAATTTCTGTCAAGTCCCTAATCTACCAATCTATAGGAAATGCTAAGTAGAAGTGAACAAGTTAAGGCAGCACAAGACAGCAATTAGCCAAATTCAGAATATGAGACCTTCTAAAGTACAAAAGACTCACTTTTCCCAGTAAATCAGTGGCAAATGACAGACTTAGGAGACATAAAAGCTAAAGGTAGTATGTGCACTTCATCTGGATCTTGATACATTATAAGCAAGTCAGATGCACAATCAGGTGTCGACGTATGAAATTACATGTCTGGGAGTTGCTGCAAAACTTTCTAGCAAAAAAGGAAAAACATGGGGTAGGAAGAATTCAAAAGACTGGCCACATGCTGCTGAAAAATCTAAGCTGGAAAATGGGGTTATTTTACTAGCCTCTAATTTGAGTGTTTAAAAATATACACAACAATACATTAAATGCCTAATCAATCTGTTCCTATACAAGCAAGCCTCAGGTTAATTCCATTCAAAAAGAAATTTATAGATAAAGAAGAAAGCATTTGTTTTTAACTACAGAAGGTCCAAGTAGAAAGGATGAAAGTCAAGGACAGGTAGCTGACTCATACTGCAGCTTTGAAAAAATAGTCCAAAAAATGTTTCTGCAATTTAGCAAGAGTTTTTCCTCCAAGGCAACCTTCTCTTGGTCTTGCTATCTAGAATGTCTTCCATGAAGTTGCCTCCAACCCATCAAGTTCCTGCTCTGCTCCAGTTCTTAGCACACCATGTAATTTAGCATATGAAGCAGCAAATAATGAAACCTGGTTTCTCCGTGTGGCAATGATTTGGCTCTCTAACCAGAGGGTGCTGAAGGCAAGACCCTCCCTCTGGCATGTCCACGGCTGTAAAGGACTAGAACTCCCTGCCAGGGCTACTGATTGGGTGAAAGAGCAAAGACATGCTCTCAAAGGCCACAGGAGTACCTAACCCTGTCTCTTACCTGTGTGATAGCCATTGTCTGAGGTATAAAAGATGTAAGTGTTGCTGAGCTCCCCAGTGAACTCCAATCTCTTGATCAGTTTCTCCACAAGGTCATCAACTGAGAGTAGAGTTTGCCACCTGGATGTGAACGGAGGGTGGAAATAGGACTTCAGGGGCAATGGCTGAGGTATCACTATCTCACCAAAAAGGCAAAAACAAAGATCCCCTATCCCCTAAAAAACTCAAAACCAATCTCCCCAAAAGCTCGAATCCCAGATCTGTTGCCCAGACCACCCCAAGGGAAAAAAACACATCAGAAAATTCCAGAGGGTAATTAATTCATTCCAAAGCTAATTGTTTCCAAAGAAATAAACTAGGCTTTTTATAACTAGTTACCTTTATTTTTCATTGTCACTGGCAATGAGAGTAGAGGCAATCAGAAAAGAAAGTTGTCAATTCAGTACAGAACACTACAGATCAATTCAGACAGACCTGTACTATGAAGAGTTTAATAGTCTAAATGAGGGGTTGGCAAACTATAACCCATAGGCCAAAGCTTGCCTGCTGTCTGTTTTTATAAAGTTTTATTGGAACACAGCCACGCTCATTCACTTACATATTGTCTAGGGCTGCTTTTGTGCCACAACGGCAGAGTTGAATAGTTGTAACAAAGAATATATGGCCTGCAAGCCTATAATGTTTACTATCTGGCCTTTTACAGAAAAAGTTTGCTGATCCCTGGTCTAAACTAAATACTTCCTACAAGAAAGTGATGGATTTTTAAAAATTTACTTAAGAGGATTCTTGAAAATTCCAAACAGCAAAGGCAAATATTTTGCTCTAGTCTAAGCTTTTGGGTCTTTTGTCAAATATTTGGGGTTATTTTTTACCAACTGACCTTTTCTTTAAACATAGGAAAAAAAATTTCTACCAAACGGTTCAAGTCTGCAATACTCTTTTTTTTTTTCTATTATATCAGAATATTACAGGGGTACAACGCTCTGGTCACATAAATTGCCTTTGCAACACCCGAGTCAAAGCTACAAGCGTGCCCATTGCAATACTCTTTAATGAGTCTTAACAACAGTTGGTTTAATTAGTCCTAGGGTCCAAACGCCACCTCATACAACTGAGCATAAAAGAATTCCTGCTTGTGAGGCAGCAGATGCCTCATCACAGCATCTCTCCCAGACTTGCTTCCCTCTGTTTTTGTTTCAAAGACAACAACGTGGTGCAGCCCCCTGTGCATGAGCTGACTCGGAGAGTCCTCAAAACCGCTCAGATTGAGAAAGCAGCAGCAGCTCTTACCTTTTCCTAAATGCATTATCTAAAAACTGTATTGAAGAATTAGTCATTGGAGTCTTGGCTTGCCTAATTAGCCAGTGCTTGTTCTAAAATTTAGAAGAAAGAAAATGTCAACACCAAGTCACCACAGTCCAATAAACTACAGAATTACTAAAGTAGAAAGTAAAATGGATCATTTCATTCACACTTTAGCAAAAAGGAACTAACTAGAATCTGTTTAAGCAAGAACCTTTTCTCCCTTCCCCTGTGTTCCTAAAAAAGAAATTTCTGCAGATTAGCCCTATCACTCATTCTTCAGCTTCCCACCACCTTCCAAACTGTAAAAAGCCTTGACTCCTTCGTTAGCAGCATTAAAAGATTTTAGAGAATGTCATTGGGAAACTACCGGCTAAAATGAAATCAAATTTACAACTTTGATCTTATGCTACAAATAGATAAATACTAACTTTACCTTCTTCTAAGTTTTGTCTATGTAAGTCATCATTCCACCATCCTCTATTTTCCTCCCCAAGATATTGATCAACTTGGATCCTTGGGAAAAATCCCATCACAGCAATTTCCTAAAACTTCAAGTCCAAATCTAGAAGGTACTTCCATTTAAATAAAAAAGTCATAGTTTTAAAAACAAAAACATTCCCATACACCATTAATTCTCTCCTCTCTATTCCTAAAACCCTAAGCCACCATCTTCCAAACCAGGCTTCTCAAAGTGCTCTTTAGTTAATAAGCTTGAGAAATGCTATAATGGTATCTTCCTGCTGGAAATTCACATCAGACCATGAATATCTGAGAAGTTCTGCAGCAGAGTGACTTATTTAACCCAAAGCTTCCAAACTGGACTTGGGTCATGGGAATGACTATTAACCTCTTTTGGAGCATAGCTTGAGAATAAATAGCCCTCTAATCTAAAACCCAATTCACTCAACTTTAAAATCATATTTAACAAGCACATGCCTACAATGTGCCAGGGAGTATGCTAAGTTTTCCTATGTACTTGTCATACAGTAGTCGAATGAGGGATCAGAATTTCCCACTTTAGAGGGAAAAAATGAAATTAAACATCTTATTCATTGTCAGGTCACTGAGCTAGAAAGTATTAGCGCTGAGTCTGACTTTAAGACTCATTCTTTCTATAATCTTACAAGCAATTAATTTTGGGCTAACAGGCTTGAGGCAGTGAAGGCCTTCTCCCTTTGAACCAGGACTGCCTATACTCTGTGCCAAGGGAAATATAAGTAACTGGCACACGAGGCGAATACTTAGGTTGTTATGGCTTTTAAGTATGTCCCTCGCTCTGGTTCACTTTTCCATTCAACTTTTCTTCCCAACCACACTGCACCGTGCCACCCTCTGCTGCACATGTCTTGGGATAGTGAGGGCCATCTAGAGGCTGCTGCAGGCCAGCTGAGTCCCCATGCATGTGTCTCAGCCTCTGCCAGGAGCCAGGAGGGCCAACACAGAGGTTACCAGGACAGCCTGAATAATACTCTTGTCATTGGGAAAGATGGCATTTCTTCACCATTCCCTGTGGACTCTCCAGCTGCTCACTGGATGTATAACCTCACCTGTACTTGAGAAGCAAAAGTTTATACTATCTGTTGTACTAGGGACAGGTGTAATTACCTCTAAAATATCATGAAGAAAAATGCACTACAAAGCTCAAAGGCTTCCTGACAGCTATATTGCAGGGTTAATTGCATTGCGTATGGTTGAATTCAAGGGTTAGAGGACACTACCGTTCCATGTATGTTGAAGTTCTTGTTTCTTGGCGCAAAGACATTCTGGAAAGTCTTCTGGTACTGAGGCGCGGCTGTCCAGGGTGAATGAGGCGCTGGAGTGGCGATCATCATGAAGAAGGGCTCAGAGTTGGACTTGTAGTCCAGGAAGTCCAAGGAGACATTAGCCTGACACATACAAAGATTTGTCATCTCCTACCCAACCCAATAGTTGAGGACTTAACAGATGAAGGTCTTCTGGTGAGCAGAGAGTACAGGGTCACATCAGCTTTTAATCTTAGCACGTGATCTTACATCACGGTCATTTGCAAGCACATTGTTGAAATACATATATTTTTGGTTTTTAGGTGATACTCAAAATAAAAAATTGAAAAGCATACCATCATAAGAGAGCAACTGATGATTTTACATGATCTAGAAATTATGTCTCCCTCAAGGAAAGAAACAGTAATTTGGCCATTTTAGTATCAACTTCCATTAATGGAGCTTAGAGTATATACACCTGATGCCTTAAAGATATAAAAAGAAAGTCAACCTAATTCCAAAAAGTGGGCAAGGTGTATTAAATTACCTTACCCTTATGAAAATACATAGAAAGTAGATGTCATATATTATTCCAGCTGAAGTGGCTAAGCTAAATGAATAATGTTACATTCAAATACATCCCACTAGGGCTTTCATTTATATGAACTTACATTTTTCATTTGCTTATCAGAAGATACTTTTTTTTTTTTTTTTTTTAAGAGTACTGTGGTACTATCATAGCTCACTGTATCCTTAAACTCCTGGCCTCAAGCAATCCTCCTGCCTTGGCCTCCCAAAGTGCTGGGATTACAGGTGTAAGCCACCTTGCTCTGCCTAGGACATACTTCATGACAATGAAAGCACCCTACATAATGCTGTTTTTCATTATTCTAGTCGATTTATGTCTTCATTTATTCCCAACACTAACTCAAAACATACTGACTGTATCTATTTCCTATCACTCTCCCACCTACCTAACTTTATTCCAGTCTCATCAGCTTCCTTGTGGTTTCTCAAATATGCCAGCCTCGCTCTTGCCTCAGGGTCCTCACACTTATTGTTCCCTCTGCCTGTGGCACTCTTTCCCCTCATCTGTACAGCTCACTCTCGCCTCCTTCAGGTTTGGCTCAAATATTACCTGAGTAAACCCATACCCTGCCTTATTCTCTGATGACCAGCTAATGAGGCAACAAATGAATGTGTGTATCTCTATATACATGGCATACATAAAATCTGCCACTAGGAAATTACCTTCCCCAGAATCAGGGACTTTGCTTCACTTACTGCTAACCACCGGCTATACAAGGTGCTGAACTATTTGGTGAATGAATGCTCTGTGGAAGGTTACCACTAGAAATGCTTCGGGACAGGAAAATCACTAACAGTCACCTGCTTTCAGTAATTTTTATATACAAACACACAATGCCCAAAGAACCCCAATATCTCTATCCTCCATCCTCATGATGGCACCTGTGAAGCTACCATCTTGTAGCCTGTGAGTAAAACTGGGGTCAAGAGTAGGAATTCCTACCAAGTAAAACCTCTACAAAGTAATCTCTACAGTTGTAGAGATTAATCTTCAGAAAAGGGATTTGCTGCTGGAATTCTGAGAAAATTAGATCTGAGCCCGGCTGATACACTAAGAAAAATACCCTCAGGAGTTTTTAATCAGCTGGAAATACTCTTTGGCAGTTAGGCCAAGTTATTATGCATTTACATTATCCAATACAAACAAACAAATAAGACTACGGGTTTTCGCATGTGGTTGAAGAGTCTCCAAACCTGCAAGGACAGAGCTACAGAGCTTCAGCAACTCACCAAAACATCTGTCAAGTAGTCTACGCTGTAGTTTCCACCATGGCTCCGTGCCTTCCCATTGATAGAGAGGGTATAATTATAGTATTTAGAATTCTTTTCCTATTAAAAAGAGGAAAGTAAAATTTGTTAGGAGGTCAATATACAAAATTAAAGTCTGAATTCATGCTGTGCTAAAATATACTCTGTTTAAACAGTGATAAGACATAAAAAAAGGTAATGACTCAATATTGAGACTTTTTTGACCAGGGTTTTATTAAAGACTGTTTCAGTAATATGTTCTAGTTTAAAAAACTGGATCAAGTAGAACAGCAAACTACATGGCTAAATCTTTTGCGATGCAGGAAAAACATCCCAGAAGGGAGTAACTGACAAGCCAACAGACTTTCTTTTAAGGAGATAAAACTGCTAGTTGTAAAATAAGATAAAGTTATGTCTATGTCAGAGCTACATCAGGGAGTAAACATATTTTGCATCTGTAGGGCTGTGTGTAATGGTCACTGACTTCAATAATCACTTACCAAAGCATACCAATAACTCCAGCCCAGAGGAACATGTTCTAGTCCACCTGCAACCGGGGCTCCATACTGGTAAAAAAAAAAAAAAAAAAAAAAAGAAAAAGACAAGTAGGACATTAGAAGTCCTTAGAAATGACCAGACCAGAAAGAAATAGGAAACTTTTGGAATCTTTTTAGACCAGGGCCCGAGACATAGTAGCTGCTCGATTTTCCCAAATAAACTAATCAAAAAGTAAACTCTATAATCCTAGGAACTTCTAAAAAGCAGGAGTTGGCAAACTAAAGCCACTGAGCTGAATCTGGCCTGACAACTGTTTTTTGTATGACCAGCAAGGTAAGAATTTTTTTAACCCTTGAAAAATATAAATACCACCCAAAAGATGACGATTTCATGAAATGTGACAATTACATAAAATTTAAATTTTGGTGATTACATAGAAAGTTTTATTGGAACACAGCCACGCTCATTCATTTATGTAGTCTGTGACTGCTTTCATGCTACAGTGGCAGAATGGAAAAGTCAAAACAGAGACATATGGCCTGCAAAGCCTAAAATGTGGCCTAGCCCATATGGCCCATTCATGGGGTGAGTGCTGAGCTACTGATGGCACAGACTGAATAGTTTGACCTTGTGACTAATAATAGCCAAAATATTCAGACTATGAGCTATCAGCTTATTACAGGCTGAGTATCCCAAACCCGAAAACCTGAAATATTTTGAGTGCTGACATGCCACTCAAAGAAGTGTTCATTGGAGCATCTTGTATTTACAAATGTGGAATGCTCAACAAGCAAGTATAATGCAATTATTCTAAAATCCATAAAAATATGTAATTTCAAACACTTCTATTTTCAAGCATTTTGGATAAGGGATACTCAATCTGTATCAGTTGTCCTGCTGATGAAATCTACTTTTGGAACTCAATTTATCTGATGAGATGAGTAAGCAAAGAGGCCACAGGATGATCCCCCTTTATCCTGATGAGGTTTATGACTACCCATTTAAAGTAGACTTTAGTCCCTGAAAACTAAATCTTTGAACTTTAATAGTCTCTCCTAATAGACGACTTCCAATATACAAAACAGTATAAGTTCTCTTTATGACCCATAGCCCCAACCCAATAACCTAATATCCATACTTCCTATTCCTCATGATTCTTTTCAAACTGACTCATCTTCCTTCAAACCCACAAGGTTGCAAGTTCCCCTAATTACTGGGGGGAGGAAAAAATTAGCAGAAAATTCAGATCAGATATTAAGATTTCTAGCAACTACAAATAAAGAGTATAAGAAAATGTGCATCTTCTCTTTGTCTTGTATCCCCAGTTTTACTATAAGACCTAACCCCAAACGCTCCCAAACACACTACTTCTTTTAAGCTTGGACTTTGAAGTATCCCTCCATCCAGCCCTACAAAGCCTCTTGACCATATGCTTTAATGACCTGAGTGCCCCAGGCTCTGGATGCTTTCCTTTTATCACTAAACTCTCTACAGTGCTATTTTCAGGTTAGAAGATGAGATAAGCACTGAGTTGTTATAATTCAGAAAAGATTCTAAGAAATCTGAAGAAAGATTCTAAGAGGAAAAAATTCTTCACTTTGATCCTGATAAAGGGGAAATGGAAACAAAGATGGCATGACAGCCACATGACAAGCAGAATTCCTGAGGAAAAAAGATGCACCAGATGGCAGCTGTCTTAGGATAATTTTTAAATGAATACTTCCGGGACTATTGGAAGGAAGACTAACTTCAGTGCTCAAGTCATGTAAACATGTTTATGTAAGTTAGTTCCTGTTTAATGTGTTTAATGGGCAGATTTGGGAAACAACATATACCAAGAATCCTTTAACGTGAATTGATACTAATGAAAAAATTAACATGACTTATATATTTTTTTTTTGAGATGAAAATGTGCCCTTTTTTTTTTATTTTTTTATTTCAGCATATTATGGGGGTACAGATGTTTAGGTTACGTATGTTGCCCTTCCCCCCCAAACATGACTTATATTAATTTACATTTAAAAGCTATTATAAAAAACGGAATAGAGCATTTGACATACCTCATTTAAATATTTCCCTGCAAAAAAGGTTTGATAACCACACATTGATCTGAGAATTGCTGGGAAAGTATTTGGTTCTTGGATCTTCTGCCAAGACTTACTACTGCAGTTTCCCTCTAAAGTGTTGTTAACAACGTGATGATTATGTGGGTACTTCCCTGTCAGGATACTGGCTCTGCTGGGGCAGCAAAGAGCACTTGGCACATACTACAAAGGGAAGAGAACAAAAAAGACAAAGTTACACAAGAAAGATGGATTTTTCATCATTTCTAAAGAGAATAAAGAAAGCTGCTCAATACACTAACTTCAAATTTTTAGTTTCTCATGGAATATAGATTTTCTTTACACATGACATACTTCAGAGCTGATCTAAGTCACACAGTAGAGATGTAAAAGCAGATAAAACAAACTAAAAGCACAGATTTCTTTTTCGGTTGGTTTCTTTCTGCAGGATAACAGTAACTCTAGTCTCATCTAGTCTCATGCCAAAGAAATAATATTTAATATTCAAGGAGCACAGTGCTGGTCTTAACAAAAGATAAAGAATACTACTTGAATTTAGTGTAACTGAGAATCAGAGATTCATTCTGAGGCTGATCTGTAGCTTTATGCATCTCCTGTATCACTTTATACACTGGACACAGACTGTTTACTCTAATTACATTTCCATTAGCTACCGTCATCAACAGATTTTCTCCATTTAACCAAATAATATTTGTATACATTACCAAGCCACTTCACAGAAAGGAAACACTAATTCATACTCATGCCAGCATGACAGCCATTCAAGCACGCACTCGTACCAAAATGAGGTGTTATCCCTTTTAAATACTTAGCATTTATTTGGCCTTTCAAATTAGATTTGGCATTTTTAAATACTGGTGAGGATGAACGTTCTCCACATATGTACGGACCAATTGTGTTTATGTGAATGGTTTGTGTTCATGTGCTTTGCTCATCTTTTCCTCCTGGGCTGTTGTTGGCCTCTTGTTACGTAAGATTTAAGTTAAGGAAGGACTCGGTCACGTTACAAATATACTTCCCATTTTTACTTGTCTGTTTTTTTTCTTTTTTTGAGACAGAGTCTCACTCTTTTTGCCCGGGCTAGAGTGAGTGCCGTGGCGTCATCCTAGCTCACAGCAACCTCAAACTCCTGGGCTCAAGCAATC